CACACAATGATTCTGTTATTCTCTTCAGGCTGAAAAATCAAATATAATTTGCTATCATGAGTTTAGAACAAAGTTGATTGGAAATCTAAAAATGTAATAATAAAATAGTAGACTCAATAACATTTTAACAATGTCACTTGCAGTTAAAATTAGCAAAGGTAAGATTTACACATGAAGCTCTTGAGAGCTGCTGTCAATAGATAAACCAATGATCTGATTTGACATAACACAGCTCTCTTCATAAAGTTATTCAACTTTTCCACAGCTAAAACTTCAAATTTCAATACTGACATTTGTGGATCTGAAGGATTTTCCAGCCCTAGGTTTTTTTAAAAAAATTTAAAACAAAATTAAAAGCTTTTCATGCAACAAGTCAGTCTACAAATGTGGTTATAAAATAAAGTGCTCATACTCCATTCTTATCACACTTTACCAGTTTATGATGTTCATCGGGAAACAATCACCTTGATGTAAGGAAAACTTCAATGAATAAAAAATCTACAATGAAGAATCCAACAAATCATGTTTAAGATGCAGCACTGTTTATAATTCTAATATTTAAAAATAAGAATATGCAAGTATTTCTTAGAACTGTCTCTAAAGGAAAAGTCAAAGAGCCATTTCAATTACATAGTAGGCATTGGGGGGCTTCTTTCTTCTGTCATATACTGCATTTCTATTTTTATGTCTTTTACATCTTTATTCTTTACATTATTAATTGAATTGAGGTTTTATACATACATTCATACACACACACACACACACACACACACACACACACACACACACATATATATATATATATATATATATATATAGGTCTTTAGTTATTCGGGTTTTCTCCCGCGTAGAATTAAAAGTACCTTGGCGACGTTTCGACGAAGTCACATTCGTCATCTTCAGGCTGGTGTCTTCAGCTTCGTGCTTCTAAGAGTGGTGTGTGATCGCAGCTGTTTCTGTGGTGGGGCAGGTGGTGAAATCCCATGCACCACCTGCCCCACCACATACATCGGACAAACCAACAGAAGAATAAATGCACGCATTGAAGAACACAAGAACTCAGTCAGAAAAGAGGAACCAACTTCTTCCCTGGTCCAACACCTTAAAGCCACAGGACATAACATTGACTTTAAAAAGACCAGAACTATGAGTTGTTTTTTTTCCATTTCTTGTAAATTTTTCCCCACTAGGATTAAATTATGTTTTCTTGCTTTGTTAAGTTCCGTCTTTGAGTTTCTACTTTCAATTTTATGTCCACTTATTTGTTTTGTCTGCTCCTCTGTTCTTGTTTCCTGGAAGTTTTTTTTGTTGTAAAGTTAACTTAGAGATAGATTGATTTGTATTTTCAAAGTTATTTTGGATTTCTTTGTGATTTGAACTCTGTTATTTGAATTAATTGCAGTATACTATATATCTTCTCCTGAGAGGTATTTATATTTTCTTGGTGTGTTCTGTCTACATGTCTCTCATCCATGATAGCCAAAAGTTGAAGTTTTCCTTCTTATCTGCAAATAGTTTTAGAGTCCCGGTTAAATAGATATTTGTAATACAAAGAATTCAAAAAAGTTTTTTTCTAAAGTTTGTAATTTTCTCTTTGTCTGCAGCCCAGATTGTTGTCTTTTTTGTCACAGCTGTTCTTTATTATTAAAGCTTTGAAGGTCACAAACACAGATTAGCTTTTCCCAGGTTTTGGCAAGTTCTCTATGGAAATCATAGCTGTCAAAACCTTCATCCACCACTAGGTGTCAGCATCTATTTAGTTTTCAATATGAACAATGGTCTTTAAAATGAGAGTCTTAACCATTCAACAATCTGGAACTTGTCCAAAGTTAAATTTTAGCTTTCAAGTTTATAAATGTATTTCACTACCATATATTTTGATCCTCCATAGAAATTTTAATTCGCCGCTTCCGTTAGTATAAGGATGGGGAAGAAGCCCCCCTCCTTCATTTTCGGAAGTATTTTGCTGTCTGGGGATCTTTTCCAGGAAATTAAGTGTAGGATAGAAAAGGGAAAATCAGATTCCTCACCCAGTTTCAAGCACACTGTTTACTATAGTGCTGATTAGTTCTTTTGGACCCCAGTTGCAAGTAGCTTGGGCTGATTGGTGAAATACAGCCTTTCTCCTGTAGGGTTAGAAGGCTTTCCCCAAGACGAACGGAACGACCTCCATCATTCCAGAGTCACCGGGGCACTCTTTTTTCTTCGCCACCTCTCCGGTGTGGCTTGGACCCATTAGGATCTCCAGACAGGACGAAAGTTAGCCGCGGGGGTGTGGTGGTGCACAAGCCCGTGACCAGTCGCTACCGTGCAGGACCGGAAGTCCCCCTTTTAAATTTCTTTACTCCCACAATTCTGTTATTTTGTCTTATGTCTTTTCCTGGTTTAATATTTTTTATAACTTTAGAAGCTTCCCTCACTGTTATAGGTCCATTTATAGGCTTCATTTCTATGTAATCCTTAATAGATTTTGTTTTTTTAAAAATATTCATCTATTTTTTCAAATGAATATTCCCTTTAGTTAATTAAAATAATATTAGTGAAACGCTATTATCCATTAATACAGTATCTACCTCTTGAAATTTCAATATCATTTTTTCTTTTTCTTTTTTTAAATTTACATGACAGTCGTTTCTTTGGTTTATTTGCAAATTCAATTTTTTAGCTCTTCTTTTCTTCATTTCTCTTACTGCTAGTATCAATAGCCATTGCTGTTTAGGTTTAATTTGGTGAGAAACACATCCTCTCTTTCATTTCATCTCATCCAAAATATTACATGAGATTTTCTCATGTTTCTTTTTGAATTCAATATTCAATAGTATGTTGATAGAAAACTTCTGATAAAAGCTTTACTTGTGTCCCATACCATTCTTAAACCTGTGCCTTATTTTCATTTTTTTTGTTAATTCCTTTTTACAACCCTCCAACTATTGTTACTTTCTCTAATAGCATTTCATTTAATCATTATCTAAAAGAACTAGATTTCTTTTTATAAACCAACTTCACAGAACTATGATTAGAAAAAATCTTTGGTAAAATCTCTCCTTTTTAGTAGCCAGGTTTTCCTAAATGATTCAACAAAAAATCATGTACGTTAGATTGTAATCCAGAAATCCTCAGAAATTTTACTTATTGTTCAGGTAACTATCCCTTCTCATTTTATAATGTAAAAAATATATAATTCTCATAATTTCACTTTTAAAAATATCACCCTCTCATTTTGTATTTTCCATAGTTATTTTTAATTATGAATTGTACACCATTCAGAATCACTTTCTTGTGAAATGGGTAGCCATATAGATATGAAAAATAAATGAGTAAAACCACACTGAAAACTATATTTTAGCACAAATCAAAAATATAATATTTCACCAAACAGTATATTACAAATTCTCACAGGGAACTGTATATACTAATTACTTTAACACAGTATGACACTGATTTAGCTTGTTATCTTATATAAGGCTAACAAAATTAACTTGATTTTACTTGTATCACATAAATTGTTTAACCAATAGTTTACCGTGAATCAATGAAAAGTAAAAGACTTGCTCCACATTGGGGCTGATGTTTAGTAAGTTTCACCTAGGGCAATGCATTTATGAAGTTGGGAGTAGAAGCTAAAAAGATATAAAAGAACAAATGTTTTGTGCTATTTAAAATTCTATTATTCTAATTTCATAATAGTTTTAAATCGGTTTGTTTCATTTGTCTTAGTTTGTCCAGGTACAAAAAGTATAACAAGCTTTGATTGAAAAATGGAAACAAAGTTTCTGAACACCTCATGCACATTGTTCAAAAAAACTAGAAAGTCAGGAAGGCTGCTAAGATAATTGTAACAGTATTAAACTATATTCTAAAGATCCAACTGAAGCAACCCAGTAAGTTACATTTTGAGCATAATGCAGAGTATTCTTTTGAAGGGCAAAAATACCTCATTTAAAGCTCCCTTGGTCTCAACTACAATTTAAATAAAATGGTGGTTTAAAGAAACCACTAATGGCTCAGTAAAAAAAAAGTATAGTGAGAAAGAAAAAGTTGATACATAACAGTAGTATACAATACTTAATATTCATTATTGGATTAACTTCCATCAAATATGTAAAACAGCTCTTCCAGACCACGTTAAAGGTTAGGGTAATCAGCTTAATTCCTGTGGTTTTCTTGTAAACAATACAGAAGGTTATCACTAAATCTTTGGGAATGTTTTTCAACCTTTCCCTCCTGTTTATAGCCTCCGATTTCCCTTTTTTTCTCCATGCAAATCCTAAACAGGTCCAGCCTGGCTTGGTTTCCAACTACAGACAAGATCAGCCAGTAGAACTGCCATAGCATGTTTTTAATCTTTAAATGTGAATATCAGTGTACTCTTGCAACAGAAATCTACACAAATCTGTTTGAAAATAAGTTCCCTTATGTGCAATTTAAAAGATTTGGTGACCAGATAAAACTCATCATTGCACAACCTTCCCTTGAAACCTCCCAACACAGGTGTGACCTGAGTACATCCCGAAGGAAGAAATGACGTGAAGCTCCTCCTAGTGTTGTCTCTCTTTTGTGTGCATTTAGGGAGGAGGTCAAAGTAGAAAGGTAGGGAGCCCTTTGAAAATCTGTAGCTAAAACACTGCAGGAAATGAAATCCTAGAGCCCATTCTACTTTCCTTCTGTAATTCTAGGTCCTGTCCCACTCCAGATCTGAAAACACCATTTCCCCCTTGGGCAGAGAAGCAAATTCAGCCCATTTGGGGAGAGGAGGGTGGAAAAGAACCCCAAAGCGCCAATTTCGAAATCGTGGCGCGAGCAAAAGCCCGACCTTCTGCGGCTTCCTAAAGCGGCGATCAGATGGGAACCCCAAGCAGCCTCGGCTCGGGGAAACCATCACGTTTCCAGCAGCAGAAAGAATTAAAATGAGAGACGCGTCTCTTAGCCCCCCCCCCCTCCATCCCCACCCGCGTCCGATCCAGCTGCTCTTGAGGCCCAGCGAACCGGCAGTTACTGACCTCTCCGGGGTCCGGGGCCGGGACTGCCGCTTTTGGGGCTCCTACGTGGAGCCATGTCTCCTCCTGTCAGGTAATGCTGTCTGGGAGCGCAGGAGCCAAGAGCTGGGCGGGGCCGACACGAGGGTGAGGATGACAATACTAACCTGAAGCAGCTCCGCCCCGCGGGTTAGACTGACCCGGCGGCCACGTGAACCAAGCCCTCTGACGACACGAGATTGGCAGCCAGGTTCGACCAATCGCGAGACAGAGATGGAAAAGCCGATCAAAACCTCATTGGCGAATGGAAGAAACGTCGAGGACGTTGAAGTTCGGCTGGGCGTTGTCGATAGCCGCCGGGAACGCTAATCGCCTGGAACGTGGCACTGGGGAAAGTGGGGTGCAGGGTGAAAGGGGGGGGGGGAGCCTGGCCTTAGGACGATTGTCACGAAGCTGCGGTTCTTTGGGAGATCCGTGCTTGGTGCATAGAGAAAGAAAAAAGAGATGCTATTGCTGTAGCGTCCTATTTTATATCTTTTCAGTTGCACTTTTAGTTAATCGATTCCAAATCTTTGCGTGCAGCCTACTCGGAGAGCTTTCTGCTCTTGCGAGGATCCAGGGACAACAAAAGTAAAAAAATATCTGAAAGTGAAAAACTGCGATTAACTTCATACAAAACCTAAGTGGTAACATCATATAATAAATACTTGGCGGAAGAGAGGAGTTTTGCAGATTTTCTTAATGCCCTGTACATTTTGTCAGATTCAAAACCTGAGGCGCTGTGGTCTGTAGCTGGAAACGGAACTGAAGGGCTTCTCTCCCATCTCATAAAATATGTCTCTTAAAAGGAGATGGAGAATTTTGAAAAGAGCTTCCCTCTTCCTTTAACTGTAATAATACATTAAGGCATCCAATGCGGATTATTTAGTGTCATTCTTAGTTTACTTTGCATCAGTTGCAGCTTTCAGACTTTTCAAGACAACACTGTTTGCAGAATTTTACCTTCTGCTCGGTCTGTAATCCAGAAAAC